CTTCAGAAGATCACCACTGAAGTCAGTCAAGTTACATCTGAAAAGCAAGAATGGAGTAGGAGGAGTCTCAACCACAAGCACATTTTTTACTATCAAGATTGCTGCTCTGGTAGCTGATCTCACTGCCAAGGTAACACATACATATGCACTGAGGAGCTGGGAGAGCATCATTGTTGTTCCTCATTGGAGAACTTGTGCTCCTCTAACCCCATGAGCTTCATGGCCTGTAACTATCCACCCCTCTACTCCCAAGTGCCATGAGAAAATCACCCACCTTCCCCCCAAACATGACAGGCTAAGAGACCCCCCCCCCACTCCCTCCGGAGTAGGGAAGATGCTCCTTCCAGCAGAATGGCTTTGCCTGAAAAGAATTCACTTTTTAAAATTTAAAAGACAGAAGTCTTTCAAGCCAAGTGTGAATTACAGCCAGTCTCACCCACTCCCCCAGCAGGCGTTCCAGTCCCCATCAGCAACACCTGGATTTGGAATGAATCGAGTCCACAAGGTTGGAATAGCTGCAGGAAAAACCATGTGCATCTCATTCACCCACAGACTTTCCCTTCAGCTTGTCAAGGCTCTGCTCAGTCACAGCAGAGATCCCACACTATGCACAAATAGACTTCTGTGGGTCCACACTGTCTTGTCATGTTGGTAACAACCCAGCTGCAGGGCTGAATTCAGGGGAGGTACATTGTGTGGGGAGGAATCCCCTTGTATCCCCTTTGATTCCTCCAATCATTCAAACTTTCAGATATATGTTGCATGCATTGCTGTATTGGTGTTGGTGTCAACCATCTTGACACTGAAGATACGCAATGTCCTAGTCAGGCTTGGCATGGGGCAGTCCAGAACAATGGGTAGGAGACAACTGTGTGCTGTATTATACATGATCATGCACCACACCATCTACACCCTGCCCTTCTCAGAATCCTAGATCTGCTGATGCCCAGCTGCAGCGATATCTCTTATTTTATCACAAATTTGATGTTGCCCACAAGGTATTCCAGAACTGATGTTATCAGACATAACAAAGATACAGTAGGAATTTGCACGGTCATCAGGTTATATTCTGAGCAGTCATGAGCTGGAAAAATGAAAAGTGAAGGCAATTTTGGGGTGTGCTGGCAGCAGTACTTTTAAATGTAGAAGAGGGGATGGGACCTGCATAGAACTTGCTTGCTTTCAGGAAGATGTGGATAATTTACCTACTAGTTGAGAAAGCTGGAGTCCTCTCAGGCAAGCATACCTTATTATTCCTGTAGAAGGTTTCATTTTGGCTCCCATATGTGCAAGAGGAGCGGGAGCATCTTTTTTAAGAAAAAGATTTGAGTTTCTTTGGTCCTTGAGGTTTTTGGAGTACAGCTGGGATCATGATTTGCTGAGTGCAAAATATTGTATGACATAAATGTATTTTTTTTCTTTTTAAACATGGCCAGATAAATGTGCATGTGGCAGATTTAAATACACTGTAAAAACAACAAAGACGGCTGAAATGGAAAACAGCCTTGCCAGAGGATTCCCTTGGCAGGTATTTATAGAAATAGTTTTACTTTAAAAAAATCTATTATAATTAAAATGTGCTCTTTTTGAATGGTTCAACCATGCAAGCTCTTTAATGAGTAAATAAAAACAGAAGACAGCAGTTTAGTTAGATGTCAAAGTTATCCATGTCAGTATCTTATTTCTTGCCTTTTCTGACTTTCAGTAGCTCCACTCTTAATATGTGAACATTTTCAAGTTGTTCTTATTGCAGAATGCTCATTAGTGTCTTACATGTCAGTATGAGAAAAGATTCTATTTTTTTCAATATATTCAAAGCTTTGTAACTCAATGTTCATGCAAGGGTATTCCCTTTTGACCTGTCACTGTTATGATACATGGTATTTTAAGGTCTACATCCTATTTTCCCTCCAAGGTGCCCAAGGACAATCCTATTTTACTCTGCTCCACATAAGAACTACCATCAGTCTACCATGCCCAGCATACCATCTCTTTCAGAGCTGAGAATGGATGCTGAAGGGCACATACAGCATTTTCCACACCCTATTCCTCTCCTGCTGCAACATTAAAGCATTTGGGCGCCCTGGCTGTCCCTAAAACTCACTCACTTCCCCCTTCGCCCAAAGTTAAAACATTTGCTGAGTTTCCTTTAATCAAGAAAGTAGGAAGCAGCTGCTTTGGTGACTCTAGCAATCTCTGGGCCCGTTGCACCCCCCCCTCTTGGCAGCAACAACCTATTTAAATGTTTGCACTATCAAAGTTCAGTGGTGCTTTATGTACGTACATGGTGACCACAGGTGACAGGGAATCAGAGATTGATTCCAGGGAGGGAGCCTGAGAGACAGCTCCCCCATCCAAGGCAAGCAATTGGCACACAAATTACCCACGTCTGACCTAGGGATGCAACAAAAAACAACATAGGACTCTTTTTAGGCCCTATAACTGGAACAAGTACTTTTTAACCCTTTATCAAGGATTTATAGAGGCTAAATCTGGTGTCAGCAGCTGTGGTAATTCCAGCTCCAATAGCATACATTGCTATAAATCCTGAAGAAAAATGAACAGATCAACTTTTGTAACACAGCTTAATCAATTCAAACTAAGCCACAAAAAGCAGTGAGGAGGGGACTACCTGCCTTTCCATTATTTTGTCAAGGACTCAGAATAAAATTGCCCTTTCACACCAAAGTAGGGTAAACTTACAGGTGAAACAGGGTTTGGTTCTAAATATTTAGAACCAAATTCTTCCCTTCTCAGTGCAAACCTATTCCTTTCTTTAGAAATGCAGCTGTCAGTGGGAGACTTCTTGATTTGAATAATAGAATTAGACAGGTATGGATTTTTCATTTTAAAAATAATTAACACACAAATCTTACTGCTTGCAATAAATCAGTATTTCACTCCTATCCTGTCATATTAAAAACAGTTATTTGACACCATTACTTATTGTTTTGTTTTAAAGGTCCGGTTACTAAATTCAGAAGGAAAGAGTTTCTGTGGAGGTGTGCTATTAGCCAGCAACTTTGTGTTGACTACAGCTACATGTGCCCTTTTGCATAGACATTTTGTGATCAAGGTTGGGGCTGGTAGGTTATTAAGCACGTTTTTTCTTTATATCTGCCTAAATACTTGTGTTTGAAAGCTCTTTAAAAAAAACCAACACAGCTGATATGCCAACACTGGCATTTAGGAACATTCCATCCAGCCTCAAAAGCAAACTGCTTGAATTGAAAGTCTTTAATTTTCAGGGAGAAACTGGCATCCATTTTTGGTTGTGTATTTTACTGTCTCAACCTGAAATTCATATTCATTCATACAAACAGGTTTGCCAATAGTTGAACAACGCCTTGAAAGTATAATGCTTAACTTAAATAGCCATAACCAAAAACACGCAACTGTTGTAAAACTGGCATCCACAATGAGTTTGTGTACTTCTCCCTCATTTCACAGCACTGACAATTCATGCATTGTCAGAATAGCTCTCGTGATTGTTGGCAGTAATCTGTGTTCAGCTTTGGCAGCACACAGTAAGGCTATTTTTCATATCAGCGAACATGTCATTACTTTACAGGGAAAGATGGAATGACTGGAGCTGGGCAGGTAATGCACGTGAATGAGAAACACATACATATCCGATATGATAAAGAGACTGGTGAAAATAACATTGCATTGATACAACTCCAAGAGCACATTGAGTGCAACAGCTACCAGCTTCCTATATGCACCCCTGACAGAGACTTTGCAGAACATGTTTTGATTGCTCAGTTGGCTGGGACGGTCAGTGGCTGGAAAATTGAAGGAACAGAACTTACTGGAGTGTTAAAAGAGTTGCAAGTTTCACACCTCCCTATAGAGGAATGTGAACAACTACTCAATACAAGCCTTACAAACAGGGAATTTTGTGGGCATCACCAAGCACCTATGGATGAGCAGCTGGCTGGAGGAAATTTTGTTGCCACCAATTATAAAGGCACTTGGTTTCTGACAGGCATTACAGGAACTTGGCCAACAGAAGCAGCTAACCCAGAAATATTTCTTTTCACCAAGATTGCAAGATATATGATGTGGTTTAAACAAACCATGGTATAAAAAGAATCCCTATGGCATGAAATCCCTGTGATTGAAAAATATGCTTTGGATTCAACAATTGTACCAGTTTCATCAAGGACAGCACACAGATACTAAAGATGTCATGTTTATTCTGTAAATATTTAAATAAACTCACCCATAAAAACCAAAACTCAGTATTTCCCAGTCTGTCTTTCCTCCCCCTGTTGGAGAAAGCCTCATCTTGAACTTGAGTACTAGCCTGGGCCACGTGGCTGCTCCAGCTCCAGCTCCAGCTCCAGCTCCAGCTCCAGCTCCAGCTCCAGCTCCAGCTCCAGCTCCAAACTGGGCCCAGACTACAGTTTCTGTCTGGCACTGGCCAAGACTGGGGCAGTCACTACTGCTGCTGCTTGGCTGTGGGCCAAGATGGCTTGAGATGGCTTGTGCTGAGGGAATGCATAGTGTAGGGAACAGGCTGTGCAGCCTGGAGATAACACAGGAGAGATTGTGCAGCAGGGGAGCTGCTGTTGCTGTGGCTCTGACCCTGACCTGGGCCCACAGCTGCCACTGCCTAGCTGGGGCTAAAGCCACTGTGTTCCATGTCCCAGGCCAGAGCAAGAGCTGCCACATAGGCTAAGTGGCAGCAGGGAGGCGCAAGTGGTGTGGGGGGGACTCGCACCAGGGGGGCAGGCACAAGGGTGAAGCTACCTGCCTCCCTGCTGCTACTTTCCCCACAACAGCAGTGGAAGGAAAGAAATTTAAGACAACCCTCCAATAATTAGATTCTATATATGGAAAATGTATCAGAGGTATAACTTGCCATGCATAGAATCTAAAAATAATTGGGGGAATCATCTTTAAATTTAAGTCACCTTGGATTTGGGTAAATATGGTCATTTTATTGAAACTTATGACAACACTCTAAAAGTCCCTTCAAAAACAAGAATAAAATCTCAAAGAGAAAAATATCACATTTGTTTTATTACTTTTATAAAAATAACCTGCATGAACAACAATGGAATGTGAGTGAATTACCAAAATGTTTATTCGTTATCTGAGCAGAAAACTCAAACAAGTACTGAAGAACAGTTACCAGAGGCTGAATTCTGAGCAGCAGGAGGCAAACATCTCGTATTTGCTCAGCTCTCTTTAAATCCCACTGAGATAAAATGAAGTTCCTGATGTTCAGTATTTAGCACGATCATCTCTAATTTCTACAGACAACTTAAAGAGCACGTTGTATCCAAAACAAAATTATTAACAAAAAATTTAAATGTAATAGGAGTTAAGCCTTGAAAAAAGTGAAAAAGCTTTGTTTGCCTCCTCAAAGAATGGATTAACAAAGCATCATAAGATAGACACTTGTTATGACAGGTAGGCATAGAAACAGTTATGGGAGCTTACAATAGCATCAGTCTAAGTGACAGTTGAGAAAGGTTTGGCTTTTACAAAAATTCTTGTAAAGTGTTTCTTAATATTTTTGCAGTGAATTGGGAATGCTTTGTTTTCTTTTCCTGCAAAAGATGCTTCAAGTTATCCAAGAGGCCAAAGAAACTCTAACACTTTAAAAACATGAGCATTGCATTCCCCAGGTTTTATCAAGCTGGCAGACCCTGGTCAATCTGGCAAAGAAACCATGTGACAGTTGTGGTATTCTAGTTCTGGACATGACCAGTTGATTAACAGTTTATGCTGTGCAATCTGAGCAAACAGTTCTACTGGACAATGCAAGTCTTCTATGAATATCCCTGTACCTAAGATGCAAGCGACTCAACACACCGTAGAAAGCGGTGGGAATGGGTTCTGCTTACTAACCACAAGCTTCTGATGCTGATGAGAAATATATCCTTTAATGTGACCCTGACAAAGGGAAAAAGAAAGAAATGTTAGTATTGGAAGCTGGTGACACATTCACATTCAGTGTCTGCCTTTGGTTTTGATCCAGTCAAATTCTAACCTGTGGCATTTAATTGTGAGCATTTAAGCAGTGCCATTAACTTTTAACATCTCACTGATTTCAATGGGACTGCTTATGCACCTGTTTACTCCCCTGATGTCACAGGCAGCACATCATGTAACTCCATTCATACACTTACTGAACTCCCCCTTAAAACACTGCACTTACTGAAAGACTCTTCCAGAATTTCACTCCTCTGGTAGGTAGGAATCTCTTTCAAATTTTCAACTTAATTTTATTCATGGCCTCTGTGTACCCATTTATTCTTTTCCCTAACATATGAACAGAGCTTGGCTATTGACCTTCAGGACTTATATTCATGAATTTGTGGATTTTAGAGAAAAGGGCAAGACTGGATTTATAATGGAAATTCAGTTGCAATCTTAACTGTTTTCCATGCAGGGCAAGAATTGGAACATAAGCACCTTTGTTACAGTAAAAATATACAAAGATATAAGTACAACAGACAAGTAAATGCAAATATAAGACAGGTGGCCCAAGAAAAAAAATGTTTAAAGTAAATTATGCTATTGTGTTAGTCTTAATAAAATTTCCCTAATCTGCATAGTCATTTATATTGACTGCAGTTTGCAAAGGCAAACAATGAATGGTGAACACATACCATGAATATAAGATTGGCTAAAATACACTGCACTTCATCAATATCAACATCGTCCACTTTCATGTATTTCAGGGCAACCAGAAAGGCATCTAGGGATAGTTGATGAGTCTTGAGAAGCAAATATCTGAAAGAATACAAAGAGAAGGAGCAAAAAATCAACTAAATCTGCTGGTTTCTGGGCAAAAAGTCCTTCCATGATAACTTACTTTGCCTGGACATGTAATCCAGTTCTCTAGAGAAACCACATGAAAATAACCTTTGCAAAAATGCAATTTTTACTTTGCTCACACTTTCTTAAAGAGATTCCTGTAGGTGATGATTTTCAGCTTCTCAAGGATAAGGAAGATACCACAGCGAATGAAGAATGTCTCATGTTTTGTCAGAGCATCATTCAATAAGAGAAGATTTCCTTCACTAAAAGGATGGAAATATAAAAATATGAGAAGGCAGATATTTTGCTTCATCAGTGTTATAAATCAATCTGCATTTTTTCCCCACACAATAAATATATATATGTGATACTCCTTTAAGCTAAAACACACACAATTCAGTAAGATGCCATACCTCACAGCCTTAGTTACTTCAGCAAACTGCATGAGGTCATACTTTTTCAAAAGCTGAATTGCTGGCATATGGCCCTGAAAGGTAAACAACGCTTAAATTTATCCAGAATAAAAGTCAAATATTTCCAATTAATAATACATAAAAAAATTATCAAAAAGAAGAAATACAAATGTTTATTTACTTTGCCCTCAAAAAACAAAAGGAAGTAAATGGAGCTATTTTTAAGGCTCCATTACACTGCATCTCCAAGGATAACATGTTATACACCTCTACTTTTTTAAAACTTTGTTTCTAAATTGTATAAACTGTTTTAAGACTCCATTACACACAAGATCAGGGGGTGGCAATGTTTTTGAACAGAGCATTAAAAACACCTGCAACTTCAGGCTTCCCTACTCTCCACCCCTGGTAGGCTCCCACTCCTTCAAGATGTTGGCATGCCAACGATGGACAGTGGAGGAACTGCAAGGGAACTGATCCTTATTGTGGCAACATAGCCTCAGCCCCTTCTCCTCCATCCACCCCGAGGCATGCGTGCCAAACAAAATGCCTTTGTGTGCCACACTCTGGTATCTGTTGTGGGTTGCCTACCCCAACCCTAGATCACCTTTCATATGACCTAAGCTGTTACAAACTCTGTACTTAAGTTGCACCACCAGTGTGCAAACAAAATGTTGTGTTAGAAGATGAATGCCACAAATCATGCCAACTGTGTCACAGCACAGTTAAGGAGCAATCTGTGTCTATAACAGGTATTTTTTCTTTAAAAATTAACAGTGGGAAATTTTAATTTCTGTTCTTAAAAAATGTTTATTTGAAGAGAACGTTTTCATTGTGTTAGGTCACATAAGATTTTGGACCATATACAATATCAAAAAGGAATTTCTCTCTGTCACATAAGTAAAAATATAAGATTGCACAACAGAGATTATAGTTTCATAGATTTAGGGTCAGAAGGGACCTAGTAGATCATCTAGCCCGACCCCCCGCCAGGGCAGGAGAACAACAAAACCCCAAAACAAAAATGGGACTCAAATGAGTCCAGCCAGGTAGGCATCCAGCCTCTTCTTAAAGACCCCCAGGGAAGGGGCCAGCACCACTTCCCTTGGAAGTTGGTTCCAGCTCCTAGCCGCCCTAACTGTGAAGTAGTTTTTGCGGATGTCCA